AAAGAGTGTTAACATACTGTGGAGACAGCTTATTTCCATGCTATTCCCACAGTGACATTCGTAAAGACTGCCCCCAAAAGAAAACATTGAGTTAATTTTCTCAATAAAGGTTATTTATGAATAGATTCACGTAACTAATTTCATGCTGACATGGCAAAGTTAAGCATAAAGGTCAATTGTGAGGCAGATAAAAAGACAGTGAAGCTTTCTCAGGTGAAGACTCAGTTCTACTCTGGTCTTGTCTCTGTCTTTCTTCCTCTCTCCCTGTTCTTTATGGTTGTGGCTTCCCCAGTTGTCCTCGCCTACCCACACATAAGCCTCCAAAGAAATGTCTGCAGACTTTTCCCTGCTACAAGCATCCTAAAAAACTTCTATTTTTGCTTCTCCAGAGGGAAAAATGGGGAAGGAAGGGTACTAGAAGGTACCAGCAACTGAGCCATAAAAACTTCTGGAGCATTCAGTTTATTCCAGGCTAAACACAAACACATCTAAACCTGAAGCTAACTCATTTTATCCAAATACACTCAGTTTAAAAAACAAAAGGCTCTCGTAAAGCACAACAGAAGCCACTGGACCGAAATGACTCATACTGCAAAGTCGTGATAACCGAGTAACGGCCAGAATGTTCGCTTTTGTACTGTGAGTCCCGTCTTATCAAACACAAAATAGCCTTAGCAATTGTTTCTGTTCTACAGGCACCTAAGTGCCATGAAAAAATTCTCTGCCCTAATTCCTCATTTGTGAAATGAAGCTGATAAAACACACTCACTTCACAGGACAGCAGTAAGGAATTCTTCATTTTGATTGACAAGAGACCTGAAGGTCAACAGGTTTAGGGACTTGGTCCAGTCACGCAGGCAACCGTGCCGGCTAACTTCCCTTGTCTCAGTCTCTTTTCTCCTCCCATATGAGAAATGAGTCTAACAAAGCTTTAAACTTTTAAACAAATTAGAGTTCAACTTTCAAGTCTGATGATTTTGCAACATGATGGAAAAAAAAATTACGTTCATTTATCACCCTGGAACCAAAACTATCTTTTGAAAGATTGTCTTTGATGTACCTCTTCAGACAAGCACTTTGTAAAATACTAAAATTTAAATTCTCACCTAGGCCACACAGATTTCCATCCGAAGAGACAGGGACCCCAAGGCCCCCTTCCTCGTGGGGTGATCCTGTCACGCGGTCACCGTCTCCCGTTTGCTCGGTGAGTGTTTCGTGAGTCCATCTGCCACTCTGATCGCTCTTCGTGGTTGAGTCCTGCTCACATTTAGGAGCTGACGGAGCTGTGGGGCGGGCGGCTGGAAGGGTCACCGTGTGGGAAGGAGTAATGCACCTGGTGGTGGTGTTCAGGTCACCCTCAGGCTCCGGCTGGTCAGGGGGCACAGAGGGATGCTCTGCGGCGTCTCTGACAGGCGGCGTGCTGTCAGCTCTCTTAGCACCAGTATTTGTTGCTGCTGGACAGTGAGTACCAACAGAGCCCTTGGGGGCAGGTGCCTGCTCTGGTCCTTTGAGCTGGAAGGAGTTGGCACTCCTCTCCAAGTCCCTTCCTGTGGAACAATTTGCTGTGCTGCTGTCCCCTGGTGTCCCTTCCTCTGGATTTTGGTCTCTGCTCTGAACAGAGCTCAATGCGCTGTCCTCGTCTGTGCTGTCTTTCTGACCTGTTCCTGCAAACGGGCCCTCACCAGGGTGGTCTCTGCCTCGACTCTTTTCCTCATCTGCAAACGCAGCACTTGGCTGGCTTTGTCCCGCAGAGGACTCCTGGACTGATGGCCTGCAGGGCCCTCCTTTGGTGTAGGCTTCCTGTGCGTGTCCTCTGTGCAGCACAGGACACTGACAGCTATTCTCAGCCACCGGGCTGGGCCTGGGGGCCTCACGCTCGCTTGCCTTTGTGGCTAACAAGTCACCATTTCCCACTGGGTTGTTTGCAGTCGGCTGATCCTCTCCATGTCTGTCGAGGCTGGCGCCAAGTGGCACGCATTCAGCCGTGCTGGTGGAGATGATGGCAGCATCACTCATGTCTTCCACTCTCGCTGCGGTGGGCTGGTCTTCGTCGTGGGGGACAGCACCCACCATGACTGCTTCGCGCCCTTCCAAGGTGCTTGTGGAAATCATGGTGGTGTCGTTCACCTCTTCTGCTGGCGTGACTGAAGGATGAACTTCCTCCTGAGGGATGGCACTGGACACAGGGCCCTCGCAGTCTTCCACGGAGCTGGTCGAGATGACAGCACTGCCATCCTTTTCTTCCATGACTGTAATGGCTCGCTCACCCTCACCTTCAACAACGGCACCGGCAATAGAGGCCTCGCACTCTTCTGCGATGCTGGTGGAAATGAGCGCACATTCATCTTTCTCATCCTTGCTGGTGGAGGCAAGAGGACCTTCAACCTCTGTGGGTGCACTGGGCATTGGCACCTCAAAGTCGTCAGTGCTTACTAAGGCTGAACCTTCAGTGCTTCCGTTAACTGTTGCGACTGGCTGCTGACTTTCGCCACACTTGGCGGTAGTTGCACTGGAGATAGGCACTTCAAACTCTTCCCCGATGCTCGTGGAAATCATAGCACACTCATCTTTCTCTTCGTGTATGCCAGCAGTGAGTTGGTTCTCATCTCCTGAAACTGCACTGGGCATGGGGGCCTCAAATTCCTCCCTGCTTACTCTGAGGCCCTCTGTATTTTCTTCAGTCCTCAGAGCACTTAAATGGTCTCCTTCTAGGTCGACGACGGCACTTAACTGAGGGCTGTAATCATGTGTTGTACTGGTGGAGATGAGTAAGCCTTTGCCTTGGTTCTCAGTCCCCGCTAAGCCCTTCTGGTGGGTGATAGCATCGCTGGCTGTGGCGGCCAGGCGGCCATCGTACTGCTCGTTTTCCACAGAGGTGATCACGCCCTCATCTTCCTTCTCAGCTGGTGATGTGCGGTCAACCTCACATTCCGGGACAGCACCAGATACAAGGACATAACTGCCCTCCACTAGGCCAGGGGAAATAGCGGTATCTTCTTGTCCTTTCCTGGTAAGCTGACTGTCACTTTGATGAGAAGCGGCACTAGTCATGGGAGCCTGGCCACCTTCCAGAATTGGTGCCACTTCACCCTTTCTTGAAATTGCACTGGTCACACTGCTTTCTACAATTCCTTTTGCACTGGAGCAAATCTCCGCGTCTTTAATCTCCTTTTCTGCACTACTCATGCTATCAATGTTGCTTTCGTTTGCATTCATCGTGGCTGCTCCGGCCTCAGCTTCCACGTGCTCCACTGCAGTACGGATCTGCCTGTCCCCCTCTGCACTTTCACAGGTCACCATGCCTTCACTCTCCTCTCCGATTCCTGTGCATGTGGAAGCATGCCCCACTTCATTTCCTCGTCCAGTACTCGTCACGACACCCTCTCCTTCGTCGTCCTCCTCTTTCGCGCCTGTGCTGGTCACAATGCCTTCATCGTCACATGGACCGGCAGCAACTACTGGTGCCTTTGTGACTTCCTTGGCTACTGTGCTGCCCATGGCACTCTCTCCATTTTCTTCTGACTCAGAACTTATAGCAAAGCCTTCGCTGCTGTCTTCTGAGCCGGTGCAACTCGCTGGCCCCTCTCCATCTTCTTCTGTGATGCCTGTGCTCGTGACTGCGCTCTCCCCTTCTGCACCATCATTCACAGAACCATCTCCTTCCTGGCTGCTGGTGGAAATGAGCGCACATTCATCTTTCTCATCCTTGCTGGTGGAGGCAAGAGGACCTTCAACCTCTGTGGGTGCACTGGGCATTGGCACCTCAAAGTCGTCAGTGCTTACTAAGGCTGAACCTTCAGTGCTTCCGTTAACTGTTGCGACTGGCTGCTGACTTTCGCCACACTTGGCGGTAGTTGCACTGGAGATAGGCACTTCAAACTCTTCCCCGATGCTCGTGGAAATCATAGCACACTCATCTTTCTCTTCGTGTATGCCAGCAGTGAGTTGGTTCTCATCTCCTGAAACTGCACTGGGCATGGGGGCCTCAAATTCCTCCCTGCTTACTCTGAGGCCCTCTGTATTTTCTTCAGTCCTCAGAGCACTTAAATGGTCTCCTTCTAGGTCGACGACGGCACTTAACTGAGGGCTGTAATCATGTGTTGTACTGGTGGAGATGAGTAAGCCTTTGCCTTGGTTCTCAGTCCCCGCTAAGCCCTTCTGGTGGGTGATAGCATCGCTGGCTGTGGCGGCCAGGCGGCCATCGTACTGCTCGTTTTCCACAGAGGTGATCACGCCCTCATCTTCCTTCTCAGCTGGTGATGTGCGGTCAACCTCACATTCCGGGACAGCACCAGATACAAGGACATAACTGCCCTCCACTAGGCCAGGGGAAATAGCGGTATCTTCTTGTCCTTTCCTGGTAAGCTGACTGTCACTTTGATGAGAAGCGGCACTAGTCATGGGAGCCTGGCCACCTTCCAGAATTGGTGCCACTTCACCCTTTCTTGAAATTGCACTGGTCACACTGCTTTCTACAATTCCTTTTGCACTGGAGCAAATCTCCGCGTCTTTAATCTCCTTTTCTGCACTACTCATGCTATCAATGTTGCTTTCGTTTGCATTCATCGTGGCTGCTCCGGCCTCAGCTTCCACGTGCTCCACTGCAGTACGGATCTGCCTGTCCCCCTCTGCACTTTCACAGGTCACCATGCCTTCACTCTCCTCTCCGATTCCTGTGCATGTGGAAGCATGCCCCACTTCATTTCCTCGTCCAGTACTCGTCACGACACCCTCTCCTTCGTCGTCCTCCTCTTTCGCGCCTGTGCTGGTCACAATGCCTTCATCGTCACATGGACCGGCAGCAACTACTGGTGCCTTTGTGACTTCCTTGGCTACTGTGCTGCCCATGGCACTCTCTCCATTTTCTTCTGACTCAGAACTTATAGCAAAGCCTTCGCTGCTGTCTTCTGAGCCGGTGCAACTCGCTGGCCCCTCTCCATCTTCTTCTGTGATGCCTGTGCTCGTGACTGCGCTCTCCCCTTCTGCACCATCATTCACAGAACCATCTCCTTCCTGGCTGGCACTTGTTCCTGAGGGTGCATCCTTATCCACCAGGACCACGTCTGCACCTGAAACCATGCGCCCCTCCTGGGGCCCTGCTCCAGTGACTGAGCAAATAACAAAGTTGTCACTTCGGCCTCCTGCTCCTGTACATGTCACTGTCCCCTCAGTCTCTTTTTTGGGACCCATTCTCGGATTTCCCTGGGACCCATCAACCTCTTCACTGCTTATGGACCCTGCTCTTATTTCTGTCCCAGCACTTGTGACTGCTCCATCACTTTCCACCTCGCTAATAAAAGCAGTCGCTCCTTCAGCTATTTCCGAGTCTCTACTTGAAGAACCGTCACATTTTTCTTCAGAGCCTGCACTAGTTACAGCATCGTCCTTTTCTTCCATCACGGCACTGCTCATGTTGGCTTCTATGTCAACAGTCTGAGCCGCCAGCAGGTTTGCAGTGCTGTCTTCAGACTCGGGCACGGCACACTCTCCACTTTCTCCTTCCTTGGTGCTTGTGAGGAAAGTTTCACTTTCGGCAAACCCTTCTGTGACTACACCCCCACCTTCTTCAGCTGCAGCAAAAACAGTGTACTCACTGGCTTCTGCCCCACTACGAAGAGTGTTACTTCTGAAGGGAGCACCCATTATGAAGCCTTCATCTGCCTCGATGCTCGTACAGGGCAGGGCTACCTCACTCTCTCCTGTTTCTGAAAAAGTGGTGGTGGCATCTCCAGCCTTCACTGGGTTCAAGGTGACACCTTTGTCCTTCCCTTCAGTACTAGTGGCAACGGAAGACTTCTCTGTTGCACCAGACTCAGCTGCCACATTCTCAGGTTTTTCATTCCTTTGGGGTAAAATGGAGGATGCGGCATCACCTCCAGCACTGGTGTCTACCTCGCTGTTTCCAATCCTTTCAACGTCAATCGATAGGCCGATTTCGCCTGGGTCTCTACCGTGCTTCGGTTTGAGAGTTTTAGCACCCTTTTCTATACTCACACCCATTAAACAATCAACAGCAATGTCACCCTTCTTGCCGTTTTCTACAGTAGCTCTAACTGTCTGCGTTAAGTCAGGTTTGGCACCTAAGTCACCTTCTTTCTTGGCCTTGTCCATCAAGCCACCTTCTTTGCTAACATTCTTCTCGTTTTGTGCAATTATGCCTGTTAACCTGCTGCCAAGAGGCTCGTTTCCTTTTCCTTGGTTACTGCCCAAGAAAGTGGCCTGGTAACCTTCTGGAATGTGTCTTTTGCTTGTGTCTGCTGGGATATCTACCATGGAACCTCCACCGCCTGCTTTACTGTCACTTGTCCTAGGGACTTCTGATTCTGTACCAGTCGGACTCCGGTTAGGGCTCTCAGAATGAACCACCGGGACCGCGCTGGCAGTACCATCCTCTAAAACAGTTTTCTTGTCAACTAAAGGAATTGCATCTGAATCATGAGATTCTTTCTGAGGCACAATGGTCACTAAACTTAGCGATGGTGCAGGTTCTAAATCTGCGGAATGTTCAAGAGCAGCATCTCCTTGAGCAACATGCTCGTCGGTGGCTTTGGTTATGCTTTTCAAATTCTTCGGTACTTTATCATCTTCTGACGGGGGGCCAGGTAACATTCTACGACTAATCTCAGCGTCTACACTGAATTCATGAGTTCCCTGTTGGACAGGTTCTTTCTCCCCAAAACTCGGTTTGGACACAGCACTTTGGATGTGCCCTTTCTTGGTCAGGATGCTTTTATGGTCAGTATGCTTTTCAGAGTTACTATTAACTCCTGTTCCACGTCCTGATTTACAAGCTAGAGCTGCTATTTTTGAGTCTGCTATGGAAGTTCTCAATTCATCTTTTAAAACTGTAACGTTTTTTTGTTTCATATTTTCAGAGTCAGTATCTTGTGGAGAATTGTCATTGCTGCTGTCCTGGGGTTTAGACATGTCACACACATTTTCAACAGCTGACTCGGAGTCAACTTCCATGGGTTCTTGTTCAGGGGACAACGTGGGATCATTGTTTTTTTTTGGTCTCTGCAGGAAGAAACTACTGGAAGTGCTCAAAGTGTTTGCAGCTGATTTTTCTTCTCCTTTGGCCATCTCTTGGGATAAGCTTCCCTTTCGATTTTCACACACTCTTTTACTCAATTTCTTTTCCGTGACTGAACTGTTTCCTCTAGACTTCTCATGATTACTGTCAACTTCTTTACCATCCTTGTCATCTGATTTACCTTCTTCCTTCTTTTTCACATCTTTATTACTATGCTTTAAGCTTCTGCTTTTGTGCCCCTCTGACAACTTCCTCTCTAGTCTGGAGGAGCCCAGGTCTTTGTCCCCCTTATATTTTTCCTTTGCTAATGGTAACTTAGCTCTGTGACTAGAATCTTTCTGTGTACTATGTGCTAAAGTAGCAGCACTCTCTAATGCCGGTTCAACACCAGTTTCTTCAAAAGGTTTGTCCTCTACTTTAGACTTTCGCTGTTTTTCTGAGTCATTTTCTTCTGTGTTTTTCTCTTTATCTGGTTTTGTTGTGATTGCTTGTTTTGTGACACTTTCATGTATTTCTGTTTCAACAACTTTTAACTGTTTCCCTTGACTTTTCGATTTAGATTTCAACACAAGTTTCTCTTCTAACAAGCTTTTTGTTCTTCGTTTTTCCTTATGAACAACCTCTTCTGGTTTTAAATGTTCTAAATTAGTCAAGTCTGTATCACACTTATCTTCTGAATAACTTTCACTTCTTCTCTGTAATGTGGTACCATGTTGCTTGAGACTTGGAGAGTCTTTCTGAATTTTAGACTCACTTGATCTTCTTGATTTGTGCTCTGCTTTAGTTTTTTCAGCTGACAGGTGTCTCTCTTTTTTGTTGTTTTCTTTACGAACATTCTCATCTGTTTTTATAATGTATTCCGAAACTGGCTTTCCATCTTTGCCTAAGATCGACAGTTTTCTTTCATTCCTATGTTTACTTTTTCTTTCTGCTTTCTCATCTGAAGAAAACTTTATTTGTTGACTTTGCTTCTGAGTATTTTCTTCTACTTTCAAACCTTTCTCAGAAGCATGAAGTTCAGTCTCTTCACCTGTTTTATGTATACTGTCACCTTTATATTTATGTTTTGTAGATGGTTTGTCTTCTAAAAGAACTTTCTCTTTTTCAGGCTTCTCCTTGGAAGATTTCACGTCCTTCTTAGGTAGGCTTTTCAAATGTGATGTTTCACAATCATCCTTCTTTAGATGCTTTTCATTTTTAAGTGCGTTTTTCTGTTTCTGGGGTTCCTCTGTGCCAGTTTCTGAGCGTTCTACTTGCTTTCTTCCATCTCTTGTGTCAATTTCTTCCTGGGGCCCTTCCATCACAACAGGCGTAGATGTCCGTCTTTTATGTTCTTTTTCTATTTTGGACTCATTTTTGTTTTCATCAGTTGAATGCAAACACTCTGAAAGTTTCCGGGCAGGTTTACTAGGTTCGCTTTTTGCATGAATATGCTTCAGTTCCTTCGAAGAAGACAACTTTTCCTTTTCACAAAGCTGTAAGAAAATAAAAGTTAAGATATGAGAAATAACAAAATCAATTTTTAGAATCAAATATAACGTGTGGGTTCATTTAAATAGATTGAATGCTATCACATGCATCAGTACCTCGATGCCCAGCTAACAAGTAGCGGCTCCAGAACTGAGCTGAGGTGGCTTTACTTTGAGCTGGGTTTTCCTCCCATCTCAGCAGGCACCTTTATCAATACTAGCTGTTTCTCCTGTCACCCGCACGCTTAGAAGGCCGTCTTCATGTCTGAGTCACTGGAGCCCACCAACACCCAGTAATCATTAATAAATATAAGTAGAATGAATGATAGTCTAATGTCCTTTTCAGTCTTTAAATGTAATATAGGATAATAAAAACAATTAAAAAGGTTTCCTATATTAAGAAACCTGAATCACTTAAGGAAACCTCATGAAGTTTCAAGTGCACAGTAACAGTAAAAATATCACACATAATGTGTGTATGTTTATGTATTCAAGAGAAGAAATGACAGACGACAGCATCTAAACCTTCCTTCTACTTCAATAAAGACTCGCTGACGACTAGTTGTAGTTTTTCTTATTCAAGTAATAGGGGAAGCCCTCAGAAAACCTTTCTGCCTATGTCAGCTGACAGTGCGCCTCCTTAAATTTCCACAGAGATTCACGTACTCCCAGTAATACAGGGCTCGGTGCACTTACATCTTAATCCATGCTTTAACATTTCACAAGCAACAATTCTAAATGACTGTGCATAAAACTTAATAAGATAATTTCTCAAAGGAATTTATCACAAAATAAAGTTAAATATTTAAAAACTGTCTTCATGAATCTCGGGATATGTTTATAAATACATTTCTATCTTTAAATAAAGAAAGTAAAAATATTTGTTTGGTATTAACAAATAATCATAGAAAGGTCAAGCTATTTCAGCTACAGAATTATAAATATGGCTGTTAAATAAAGATTTGATCACAGAGAAAGCACAAGTTTTTCCTAATGAATTATACAAAAAGGAAGAAATGCATTCACTGCATATGTTTATTATTAAAATAATCAAATCTTGGAAATGACCTAAGTGCTCAAATAAAAGGAAATGCTTAAATAAATCATGGTATATCCACTTAATATAAAAATATGCAATCATTAAGTAATTAGGAAGCTTTTGAGGTAAGATGACATGACCGAAATGTTAAAATATTTCACCAGATTACTTCTGCTCTAAAAAGGTATGCATACATGTGAACGAGGAGTGAAAGAGAATTAAATGGACAATTTGTCATGAAGGAGGAATCTTAGTTATTAGTCTTTTTCGTCATTATTTGGTCATCGGGAAAGTCATGATGAATTTTTTATAATAGAAACATAGAAAAATGTGTCATGACTTTCCTGACGACCTAATATTACTGGCAATTTTGTTACTATAAATAACAAATGGGGAAGGGTGTGAGGAAGAGAAGAAAAGTAGCTATTACCCTAGATAAAAATTCAGAGGGCAGGCCTGTGGCCTAGGGTTAAAGAAGCCAGACTTTATAAGGTCAACTGCGTGGTTGAAACCCTGGCCCCAGTGGCTTGAAAAACCCAGCAGGCATATAAACTCAAAATCCCAGAAAGACGGAGAAATGGAGGAGCAGGGACCGCAGCGTGACCATGTCCCACTGCAGACAGCTGCTCCCACTCCTCTCCCTCTTGTGTGTGTGCACGTGCCCTCTGGCAAAGGAAAAAATTTCATATAAATCTACTCACCAAAATGAGGAATTCAAGACAAGGTAGGATAGGGATTCCAGAATACCAAGTACGAGTTTTGTGTTTGAAAATGTAACTCTGAAAAGGTCAAACTGCATGCTGAGTTTTACTCTGAAGGCCTAATGGTCCATATCAAACAAAAAGCATTTAAAAGGGGGTTTCATTGATTAAGACACACCTCACTTGTTTTGAGGGTTTCTTTGGACTCTTCTTCAGACAGTTGTTTCTTTTTGGAACTGTCTTCAACATTCCTAAGAAGAGAAAAAAATATATAAACTTTGAATCAAACATAAGTATTTCTGGGACCAGCAGTTGGTGTAATGGACTATGTCGCTGGACTCCCATGTAGTCAACTGCAGTTTGAGTCCCGGACCCGATGGCTTAAACTCATGTCGGGTGCGCGTGTGTGTGTGCGTGCGTGCGTGCCCAAGATTCTGAGAGGAGAATGGAGGAGAAGGGATTGCAGCATGGCCATCCCCTGGAGGGTGATTTCTCGCTTTCTGTCTCTCTGGCAAGCACACACGCCCTATAGCAAAAACCTCTCCAAGAATCCAAAACAAAACAAAAAAAGTAAGTATTTCTCAGGAATGTTAAAAAAGCTGTCCTTTCACTGTAAATAGGTGATCTATAAATGAAAGGTTGTTACGTCTCAATATAAACCTATTTTTTTTTTTTTTTTGAGAGTTTTTTGCTATAGGGCACATGTGCTTGCCAGAGAGAGACACAGAGAGAGAAAGTGAGAAATCACCTCCCGGGGGGATGGCCATGCCGCAATCCCTTCTCCCCCATTCTCTTCTTGGGATCTTGGGCACGCACGCACACGTGCCCAGCATGAGTTCAAGCTGCCAGGTCTGGGACTCAAAACGCAGTCGACTACATGAGAGTTCAGCGACAAAGTCTTTATGCTAACTGCTGGTCACTCAATCTAAACCTATCCTTAGTCAATAAGGGATAACAGTTAGGGGCTGCTATTATATCTTGAAAGTCTTACCATCTTTTGAGCAAACAAAGCTGTCTCACTTATTCATATCAATAAGAATGAAATATGACAGGACACTCGAGAGCTGACTATTGTATACTGATTTCTATAGAATTGTTGCTTCAGTATCTTGAAGATAATTATTTTGTTATTAACTTATATAATTTCAACTTGATAGAATAGCAAAACTGTACCCGTGGCTCACATAATTTTATGACCACACTCAAGATTATTTTCAGCTAAGTTTTATAGAATTAACAATGACAATGCAATGTTAAAAAAAAATCTGAGGGGCTGGCAGGTAGCGTGGTGGTTAAGTGTGCTTGACTTCCAAATGGCTGACCATGATTTCTAGGCCTGGATCTGGCAGCTTGTTTTCTCACTCTCCCTCCCTCTCTTCTTCCCTCCCTCCCTCTCTCTCTCTCTCTCTCTCTCTCTCTGTGGTCAAATAAAAAAATGATAATAATAAAAAATAAATACTAAAAGAAATAAAGTTAAATAATATTTAAAAAAAAATCTGAATCAGATTTTGGATTATGAAGAAAAGCATGGGTTACTGGTAAAAAAAAAGAATTTCATGAAAAGAATGAGAATGGATGCTATCACTGTAAATAGGTGACTACTAAATGCTCAGACAGGGATACTTCCAGAGTAATTCTAAAGTCATAATGGTGTGTTTACATTTTCCTGGAAAAAAGCTCTAAATCTTCCATCAGATTATCAAGAAGGTCTGGGACCTAAATAAAAATTTTTTTTCTTTCTTTTTTTTTTTTTAAGAGAATTTTTTGCCATAGGGTGTGCGGGCTTGCTAAAGAGACAGAGAGAGGCAGAGAGACAGAAAGCAAGAAATCACCCCCAGGGGGATGGCCACGCCACAATCCCTTCTCCTCCATTCTTCTCTTGGGATTTTGGGCGTGCACGCACATGCCCAGTGCGAGTTTGAACAACCAGGTCCAGGACTCAAAAGTGATAGAGTAAGTGGGAGTCTAGCAACATAACCATTACGCCATCTGCTGGTCCTGGGGCCCAAATGGAAGTTAGAATATACCACTGTGAGGTGCTATAGTTACTAACATAAAGAATCATGGTGCGCAAAGTGAAACCCAGAGGTGCTCGGTAAACAGCAGTAACATGCGTGCCAACTATGACTGCTGCCGTTCTCAGTGCCTGCTTTGAAGGGCGCCAGGCGACTGGCACAACGGGAACACGGCCAGATAAGTATGCACCTTGAATCTTTTCTTCTTTTTTTGCTTAAGGCTACTTTTTTCTCCAAAACTTTCCGCTCTTTAAGGACTTCTTTGATTCTGGGGGCTTTAGGTTCCAAACTCTTTGCTGGTGATTCTTCTAAATCCACACTACTTTTGCCTAGAATAGAAAGAAAGAAAGAAACTATACTTTAGAAGAGAGTTTTATAGACAGTGTACTACTTATTTTTCACTAAGATTTTCTAATCATGGTAAAAATGCAAAATGGCTTTTTTTCTGTGAATTGTGCTGGAATAAACACAGTATTTTAGATGAGAAGTCTTACCTTTTCAATTTTAAATGATCATATATGTGTATGTGTGAATTTGTATACTACATATGACTAGTTTCAGTAAGGAGTTCAATTTTGCTCAATGCAGTATTCTGGGTAAACATTTGATATTTTAGTAACAAAAACAGAATAATTCCATTAGCATCTCCATCCAGCCAGGCTTGAGTACTACATGTTAATAATCCACTTTCCAGTGATCGCTGATTTGACAATTAATAAAAAACAAATTGTTAACAGTTGACTAGCATAGGTTGGTGACTGATAAAATGTTTAATTTAGATATGGTGATATAAAAAAAAGAAAAATAACTAAACACATTAGACTAAAAAGTAAGGAAAAATGGGAGAGAGCAAGAAAAGTAAGGAAATCTACATTTGAGAATAGGTCATTTTATTTTTGTTCTTATGGCATAATTAATATAAGACTATCTAGAAAAAATGGAATGTATAAATAGTTACAAATATTAAAATGGTAACATCTGCTGTACCTTGACCCTTGGCTTTTGAAGACTTTGTCTTTTCTGCCTTTTGTTTTCGTTTTTCTTCAAGTTTCTCTCTATTAATTTGCCTTCTTAAAAGCCTCTCTTCTTTTTCTTTAGCCTGAAAATCACAAAATATCCTGATATTATCAGGCAAAAGCAAAAACACTCAACAAATACATAGGAAAAAGCTTTACTTTGCACTTTAGGTGTTCTTACAAATTAAGGGGTTTAGCAAAAGTGTGTGTGTGTATACTACATACACATACTTGTGTGTTTCACGCTGGAAGCTACCAGAATAAAAAAACAGATGTGAAATTTTCCGATGTTCTTTCAAAATGCCATGAATTTAAAGGGCAACGTAGTATTTTGGGAAAAGGTTGTTTAATAAGCTGGTTCTTTCAGTTAAAAAGCTGTGAAATTACCTAGCATGAGCACCAAGTGTATACAGATAGATGTCTGTAACTTCTCGATTAGTGCTGAAGAAAAAAGTTCAAGTGCAAATTCAAGTGACAGGCTAGTCTTATAGCAAATGACTTGCTGGTTATACTCTTGGGACCCAGGCTTTGGAACTGGGATTTTTTTGTTGTTGTCTTTTAAACCAGGGAGAGATCACAATTAATGTGTTAATGCCCATCACCCCTTTTGGCCCAGGGCTCAAGGTCAGAATGACAAAAATCCTAAGCGGAGGCATAACTCCTGACCAAGTAACCTTTATAAGAGATAAGCTTAGAAGGAAGGCTAGCTGCTGGTAGCATTTTGTGGACTTCTTTCAAATCATTTTTCTACATAATATGCCCTTATCCCAAAATACACAAGTTTTCATATTTTAAAGCTTATGAAATCATAAACCATCTTAGAAATGATATATATGTAAAATGCGGTAGGAGTTTTCTCTGAAAAGGTGTTCTTTTTATTTATTTTTTTTAGAGAGATTTTTGCTAAAGGGCGCATGTGCTTGTTGGAGAGAGAGAAAGCAAGATATCACCCCCCGGGGGGGGCACACTGCTATCCCTTCTCCTCCAGTCTCTTCCTGGGCATGCACGCACAGACACCAAGAGTGAGTTTCAAGCCTCTGGGTCCAGGACTTGAACTGCAGTTGGCCATGTGGAAGTCCAGTGCCTTGACCATTATGCCACCTGTCGGTCCCTGAAAAGCTGTCCTGAATTCAATGGCACATCTTACAATTGGAAGCATTTTCGAACCCAGGAAATACATGACCTGCACTTCCCTCTTAATGTCAGGACAACAGCCACACACCAGATCTTTGTATGACTTGCCTGGAACATTCCCACTCCACGAAACATTATGCTATTACCAGTTCTTTTACAACCATTAATAATGGCGGCACCACACCTGGATCCCATGTGTTATGTCTAGTCCACGTCGCTCAATGAAGAGAGACCAGAGCCTTGCTCACAGACTACTCAAGTTTCTCAACCTGGGGGAGGGGCTAAAGTAATAACGGGTCAAAGCAGACTTACAATAGATTGTCGCCGCTGTTCTACAGTCAGCTCGTCATCAGAGTCGCTATAGTATTTCGAGTAAAGATACGGTTTGTGAACATAAGCATGCCGCACACTTTTTGCTTTTCCTTCATTACAATCACTAGTTTGAGTTTTTGCTTTATTTCGTCTACTCTTCTCTTCATCTGGAACAAAGTCAGTAAAAAAGGGAGTGTGTCTGTGAATTAATAACAAAATGGCACCATGCTTGTACAAGCAACGAAACTTCAAGGGTGTCTGTAGGCTTAAAAGGTGAAATATCAGTAGGAGAAAATCCAGAAATTGACATATTTAACTATCAGCCTCTTGCACTTAAAAGGAGGCAAAGAACAATTAGACCTTGTTATCTACACTGTTAAAAGAATGTCAGAGAAATTAAATGTAACAGTTTATTTAAGCAAAGAAAGATCCATGAAAACTGGGCAGCATTCACAATCAAAAGAGGCTCAGAGTTCCACTTCAGCAGCAAGAGCACTGGGCTTTTTTTTTTTTTTTTTAAATTTTAAATTTACTTATTTAAATTTGATCAGAGAAGGACAGAATGAGAGAGAGAGAGAGAGAGAGAGAGAGAGAGAGAAAGTGAGAATGCGAGAAAGCAAGCCGCCAGGTCCAGGACTCAAACCGTGATCAGCCCTGTGGAGTCCAGCGCCCTCAACCACCATGCCACCTGCTGGCCTCCGAGCAGTGGGCTTTTCTAGAATGAACTCACAAGTAAATGAATTACTGGATTGGCTACAGCTAGGCATTTGTCTTAGACATGGATCTGGTGAAAAGTCTTTAGTTAAGAGGTTAATTGGTGGTTTCTGATTGGTTAAAGTTAAATTTTGCTTTACTGTTTACACTGAGCTTTAGTTTGTTTATGTTGGTGCTAAAGTTGTCTCAGCCTAATTGGGGTAGCTCTCCCCCACCCCAATTTTAAAAATGATGTTCTCTTCTTTTTTAATTTTGAAAAAATATTTCATTATTTTTAAAGTTTGCTACAGGGCACGTATACTCACGAGAGAGAGAGACAGACAGAGAGACAAAGCAAGCTCCCAAGTCTGGGACTCAAACCACAGTCAGCCCTGAGGCTCGAGTCTAACACCTTAACTAACTTGCCACCTGCTGGCCCCAACAATGTTCTTTTGATAAACAGTTAATTCTCTTTTACAGATTGCCAGAGGACACATGTACTCACCAGAGAGAGAAAGGGAACAGGGAGACAGAGCGAGAAGGAGAAAGCACCACTGCAGTGCTGTGTGGTCACAGCAAATCTCCTCTCTCTCTCCATCCTGTCGGGATTTGGGACATGTATGCACACTTGTCTGGTATGTTTCTCATGTCTCTGGGGCTGGGATTTGAACCACAGTCAGCCATGTGGGATCCAGCTTCCTTAACCACTAGAATACAAGGCTAACCTGACAGTTAATTCTTGTTTGGATTTGATATGTTTTACCACTGTTAAGTTGAAAAAATTCATTGAAGCTGTACTTTAACCTTGAGATTTTGGGACCAGTAGATGGCATAATGGTTATGTCACTGGATTCCCACATAGTTGACGGCAGTTCAAGTCCCAGAACTATGACTTAAACCTCATGCTAGGTATGTGTGTGTGTGTGTATGTGTGTGTATGTGCGCAAACATGCGTAAATCAAATCCCAAGTGGAGAATGGAAGAGAAGGGATTGTGGCATTGCCATCTCCCCTGGGGGAGGGGGGGTGATTTCTTAAAAAAAAAAAAAAAAAAAAAAGAAAATTTGAGATTTTAATAAATGCCTACAAGTTTCTCAATTAGGGAAGAGGCAGAAATCAATAAAGGATCCTATAGTAAGTATGCACTAACCCTCCCCTAAATTAGGAAGGTGAAGAGCAAGAAATAAACAAGAAAAAAAAAAGCAAGCAACGTTTTCAATTCCTACCATTTAGTATTCTCAAAACAGCCATTCTTTTTTACTTTTTAAGCTTATGCATGTAAAATCTAACCCTACCCAGGAAAAAACTTAATATCCCCAAGTGCCAGGTGCCAAGAACTAGAATTTGGTCAGGGCAGAGAGGGAATTCAGTGAGGAGAACTCTCCTGACAGGCTCTGCAGGCCGGCTCATCTGGACAGCCGGGGCGCTGAGGGAGTGCTGCTGCTATCTGGATGGGAGACTGAGAAGCACAACTATGGTATTAGAAACGTTTCCTTTTTCTCCTCTGATTTTCTTTCTAGGTATCCTAACCAAAAGCCAGTAGCAAATTTTTAAGAAGTTATCTACAGGCAATTGTAAAGTGGTGAAATAGTTTTTTTTTTTTTAAGGTCACGAACAGAATTTAATCATATGGTAAAGAATAACACGGGTACTGGTTAAAAGCACAGACTCGTAACTGAAATCTGCCCTGGTGCTCACTAGCTGTGTGTCTCTGGACTAGATATGCTGTGATTTTGTTTCCTCACCTATACTGACAGTTTGGGGTTGTTGAGGACTACGGTGGCTATTACGCACAAAGCCCTTAGCATAGTACGTGGAATATAGTAAGGGTTAGCTGAAAAACTGCATAATGAAAAATGCATCCTCGCCCAGAGAGGTCAGCCTTTGACGTTAGCTTCCGGGAGGTCATCTGTAAGCCCTGGCATACCATGACTAACCGGACTACTTCTGTTAGCCTATGGGTCTAGGGTCAAGCCAAGTAGTTTAACAACCTGATTTAGGGCTTTGGCTCCATAAAGCATCAGCTTGACCTCCAGAGGGCTACAGACTAGATCAGACACGGGCAGTCCACTATGACTACACGCTGGTGCACAAATAAGGACTCTGGACCCCTGAGCTCTCCCGTCTGGCAGTTTTCTGTGCACACTGCCAGCAGCAAAGCCAAGTGCCACTGCCCATGCCCCACAGGGGCCAGGGGGAGCTCCCTGTCGGCGCTTCCTGCACTCTGCCCTATTTGCCCCTTCCCTTGCTGATTTTTTTTTTTTTTGGAGAGGTTTTTGCTATAGGGTGCATGCACTCACCAGAAAGACAGAGAGAGACAGAAAGTGAGAAATCACCCCACAGGGGGGATGGCCACGCTGCAATCCCTTCTCCATTCTCCTCTCGGGATCTTGGGCATGCACGCACATGTGCCTGGCGTGAGTTTAAGCAACTGGGTCCAGGACTCGAACCGCAGTTGACTACATGGGAGTCCACAACATAGCCATTACGACAACAGCTGGTCCTCCCTTGCTGATTTTTAATGCGGCCCTCAGATGCAGTCAACTACAGCTATTTCATGCCAGCTGTGAGGGAGTTCCGTGAGTCCTCCTAGGCTGCAGGGAGCCCTGAGCTCATGTTTGGTACCGAAGTGAGGGTGACTTAGGGGCTGAACTTTCTCCAAACACCCCCGACACATAAATAAAAAGCACCTTCACTTGTATGTCGCATCAAGCCCTACAATGATCATAAAGGATCGAGTCAAGACAAGGAGAACCAGGGCTTGCTGAAGCTTCATCATTTACTAAGCTTGCTCAGGCAGAAAACCTCCAAGGTGGGACTCACAAAGAAGTCTCCCAGCTACAATGGGTCACACTCCTGCCACACTAGTAAACATGTACAAATAACGCTCGATGGGAAGCTTCCCAGAGCTGAGTAAAATGGCTTACCATCTGACGTAATCTCTCCTTCTTCCATGCTATCAGACATTACAACTTCCTCCTCAGTCTCTTCTTCAAAAGATGAAAGGTCACTGGTATGGACAGAGCTAACCGTGATGTCTGTAAGTCCATCCACATCAGAATCTATTGGAGAGCAATCTTCCAAAAGAAAACAAAGTACAGGAAAGAAAACGGTCTTGATACAAGACTATACTCAGAGCCCAAATCCTAAATTATTTAAAATTTACTACTTTAAGTACATGTCAAAGAAATTCAATCATCGAGTAAGGTAGAACTGTTTCTAGAAAACACAAACTAGTATTCTATAAAAAGAACTAAACTAGTAATTTATGATGTAAGTGATATACACCAAAGCAAATTTTAAGTTACTGACCTATTTTTACCTAGTATTTCTAAGGTTACGATATACCACGATGAACTAAGTGATTTAGAATAATGTAAGGGAATACATTACAAGACTTAAATGATAACATTTAGTTCCTCTGTTTAAATTACCTTGTGAACAGGTACCATTAGTATTAAAAAAAAATACAGATGTTTACTGCTCTCTCTTTTTAAGGAAAGGAGATGTAAGTTTTCAAAGTATTGAAAGAAAGCAGAAAATACATTTACTAAAATTTGAAAGCAAATTTGAAACTACTCTCATCCCAAAATAGACATTTCTTGCCCTTTAAATTATCGTGCATTTTTGCAAATTTTTATGTACCTTCTTTTGTTCCTTCAACAGCTCTAACTTTATTACAGCTCTTTTCTGAAGGAGGTTTTGAACTCTCTGTTTCTTTCTCCTTTGCTTGTTTTTCATCTTTTACTTTTTGTACATCTTCACTTCGTTTTGTGTAATCAAATTTCTTTTCATTTTTTTCCTTCTTTTCTTTCTTTTTCTCTCCTTTGTCACTGCTGTCTGGTTTCTTTTCACCTTTGTCTGTTAATTTATTTTTTTGGTCACTGTTCTCTTGCTGAACATCCTTATTTAGCAGAATTAAACTATTATTCTCCTTTGTGTGATTTTTACTTTCTTCAACTGGACAAGGGAGATCGCTGAGTTCTTCAGACTTCGGGGCTGTCTCCAGCCCGTCTCCCCCAGGGTCAGGTGTGGACCTCTCTCTGTCAGCCGCATCCTCCGACGTCCTCTCCTTGTCAGTGCTAGCGTCACTTGGCTGAGAAGAGAGTTTTTTGGACACTCGCTCACTGGTCTTGGCATTGGGCATCTCGGTCGAAGCCCTGGCAGCATTAGCTTCTTGGTTAAGGGAACTTATAGTTTCCAAGATTGACATGGCATCACTGGCCACATTGGCACTGGGCCCAGGGGCAGGAATACCTTAAAGAAAACACGAGTTTTAAAATTTTTATTTTATTATGATTATTTTTAAAGAATTATTTCCTTTATTTATCATCATTATTTTTTACCTTGACCAGAGTGAGACAGAGAGAGAGAGAGAAAGAGAGCAAGTTGCCAGGTCCAGGACTTGAACTGTGGTCAGTCATGTGGGAGTCTAGCGCCTTTAACCACCATGCCCCTGCCAGCCCCAACTTTTATTTTATTATTTTTTAAAAGAATTATTTCATTCAACTTTATCCATTTACTTGTTTATTTAATTTGACCAAAAAGGGACAGATGAGAGACAGAAAGTGAGAAAGCAAGCTGCCAGGTACAAGACTTGAACCGAGGTCAGTCACGTGGGAGTCCAGTGCCCTCAACCACCATGCCACCTACTGGGCCCACGGAAACACAAGTTTTGATAAATGTCTGTGAAGGTAAGCACAGCTGCTGGATCGATGCTGCGTCACCGGTATCTTTACACAACATTGGACTTTAACAGACCACTGCTAGTGACTTCTCTCTCTTACTAACACAGTGTCTTTGGAAGGGCTTTTGTTCTGACTGTCTCATGATGTCTGAGAATAGTCTAGTTTCCAGAAAAAGACATATTGTCTAATTATTTGTTATTCTCGCTAATACAAAAACATATACCCACATAACTAAACTGCCTATTACTTTGTATGTATTAACTTTGAAAAATAGAAATGTTTTGTGAGTTGAGGAATCCGTATTTAAATAAATACAATTTCACTAGTGTAGACACATGGAGAAATGCTTTAAAGAATCAAATGTGGGGTCAGCAGGTGGCGTGGTAACTGAGGCATTGGACTCCTATGTGGTCGACTGGAGTGTGAGTCTGAGACCCAGCAGCTGGACGCTCATGCCGGGAGCATGTGAGTGCATGTCCAAAATCCTGAGAGTAGAGTGGAGAAGGGACTGCAGAGACCATCCCCCCAGGGGAGCGGTCTCGCTTTCTCTCTCTCCGGCAAGCATGCGTGTTCTAAAGGAAAAAGGCAAAAAAAAAAAAAAAAAAACAGATGTCTTGAACATGATAGAACGGAAGTGACCGAGAGAAGCAGCAGCAGTACCTGGTGCGAGGACGGACAGGTCAGGCTTCTCATCGTCGGGCGCTGCGCTGCCACTGGCCTCCTCTTTGTGGTTCAGTGTGGCCAAAAACTCGTGCACAGCTTTTTCCACCTGAGGTCTGAAGGTGTGGTTGATCTTTGGATCCACAACCTGAGAAATAATTCTGTCAATACCAGACTCCAACATTCCTGATCTGAAACACAGGATAATTTATGGAGAGATGACAAATAATGTAATATTGGCATTAGTCACTTCTAAATATAACTGTATCTATTACCTGTATGTTCAACCTTAAATTGCCCCAATCCATTTGTCTGCATACATAGACAGAGTAGGCTTTGAAAGTTTCATGCTACAGTGGCATTTAGATACACCATACTGTAAAAACTGTTGACTTTCCCTCCCCATCACTGGTTGGAAATATTAAAACAGAACAAAAAAATCCTTAGAACCAGATATAGTACACTGTGCAGAGTCCATGGACGTAGCTGATGCTTGTCTTATCTTACTCCTACCCTCATCACAGCAAATAGGAAGAAAATGTTGAGTTTTGCAATTTTTTTTAAACAGAAAAACAAGCTTTTTATAAGTATTAGAGTCTCTTGGAAAACTGAAGAACATACACAAAGTACAATTTCATTGAATTAGAAAAAAAGAAAGAAAGCTTTAGGAAAACAAAGATAAAATTTAAGATTTCTGGCTATTTTTAAATTATCTTCCTGCTATAAAAACTGGGTGATTTATTTATGCAACAATAATGTTATGGATATCTTCTACGTAACAGGCACCACGCTGACCACTGGGCCGTTATAAATCAGACTTGATTCCTGTTCTGGTTGGAGAGTTAGACCAAACAATTAAAGTACAAAATGAGGGACCAGGACATGGAGTAATGGTGTGAGCGTTCCCAAAATCCTTAGAGGAGAAGGGACTGCAGTGTGGCCCCCCAGGGTGATTTCTCGCTTTGTTTCTGTTTCTCTGGTGGGCACACGTGTGCTAGGCACTAGCATACACCACGTACTAGAGGAAGAGAGGAGTAAAGAGTGTTAAGATATGTAAGGTAATTTGGGAACACTACATAAAGGAGAAGACGATTGAGCTGATTCTTGATTTCCAAAGGAGAGAAAGGGAAGTATTCCAAATTAAAGAAACATATTCAAGAAACAGGAGTGTTTATAGAAAATATCTGAAAAGTGCTTCTGCTAGAGGCATCTGAGCAAAACAACAGAACAAGCATTTGCTTTAAGAAACACATTTCAACCTAGAGGAGCTGAAGTCCCCAGGATAGCGCTGGAAGACGGAGGTGTCAGTCACCTCCAGTTTCCGGGCCTCAGTCTCCCTCTACAGCACAGGGAAGAGGCATCTCTCCTTACACTTTACAAATGCTATTTTTGAGTGTAGCCCTGTCTGGAGTGAAGGATGGCTTAGATTTTTTCCCCTTTCCCGAGGCACGCTGCTGCCTTGTGGTACTATAATTCTATTTATGTGGGCCACAGAGAAAAATGAGCCAACACAGCACAAAGTAGGTTACCTGCTTTTCAAAGTTCTGGGATTGAGAAGAAAAAAAAGGCAAGAAAGCAAATCCTGCAAACACTGATACACGTGTCTTTAAAATTTAGCAGGTGGAGGGCCAGCTGGCCTGGTGGTTAAGGGAGTTGGATTTCACATAGCCAAGCGTACGGTTCAAGTCCTGGACCTGGAGGCTTGAGAAACATGCTGAGTACCTGTGTTTGTGCCCCAATTCCCGAAAGGATGGAGACAAGGAGGGATTGCAACATCACCATGCTGGGAGGAGCGGCGTGTTTTCTGTCTCCTCTTTGGTGAGCACATACACCCTCCAGTAACACAAAACAAAACACGGAAAAAAGAAAAAGCAATCTTAAAAGTGATCTGATTTAAGGCAGAGGTAAAAAGGCATAAAAGATAAAATCCATCCACCCCAAAACGATTGCTTCAGTCTTTTTCTGTTTGCTTGGATTCTGGCCCTTGTCCTGTAAACAAACAAAACACTGTCGGGCTTTTCATTCAGGGGTCAGCTCAGATCTGAAATAACAATGGTTTCCGGTCCTAATGATCAAGGTGGACTCACAGCCTTGGGGCAAGGCCACAGCTGACTCCCAGAGTGGGAGAGGCCGTCACTCTAGGCTCCAGGGAAAAGCTAAAGTGCCAGCAGCTGGCACTTTTCGGTTTGAAGTTATTTTCTTGTTTTTAACATAAAACTTTACTGATGGAATTTAAATGAAAACAGTAATAATACAGCCAGAAGAAAATTTATAGATGTCTTAGGAAGAACAATGCCTAAATTATCCAAGAAGACAGCTGTTTTCCCTTTTCTAAAATGTCTCAAGAAGAGCCTGTATTATTCCTATCAATAGATAGGGCCTTCCACTATTTAACCACTGGCATAGGCAAAAGAATTCCTTACTCTTCACCAACAGGATTCTGTGGTAACAATGTCTTAACCTGCCACAAGAATTTAAGAAGCTAGTTTTCACAGGTGCAAGACTGAGTTTCGTTCCCTTAAATAACTGTTTGCTTATCTTAGGAGTCTCTCTGTTAAGGAGTAAATGCAATGTCGGAATGTTTGTCTCCCATTTGAGTCTCAACTCAAGAAAAGAATGCAAGACCCGACAAACAGGCTTAAATCTAAAAGCAATGCAGTCATCTGTGAGAAGAGGCACCTATGCAGCTGGCAGACAGACTGTACAACCAGCAAAGCTCTGTACATTGTGTGTGGGGGGTCAGGTGTCGATGAGCCTGTCTCCACCTCCCCGTACCCCGTTACTGTCCTTTGGTTCCTGTTCTCCTGAACAGTAAGTGAGTGAACCTCCAGACCTGTCATTCTTCCTTTTTTTAAAAGAGAGATTCTTACTATAGGGTGTGTATACGAGAGAGAGAGAGAGAGAGAGAGAGAGAGAGAGAAATAATCTTCCACCCCCACCCTCTCCCCAATGGCCACGCTGCAGTATCTTCTCACTCACGCATGCACACAGGCTTGGTGTGTTTTAAGCCACCGGTCCAGGACTCACACCACAGTTGACTACATGGGAGTCCAGTGATGTCACCATTATGCCACCTGCTGGTCCGCAGGCCTGTCTTCTAACAGCCTGTTCTTTCCTTTTCAGTAAATGGCTTCTTTTCCCCTTCCAACAGGTATTACTTTAGAGCCCTCTAATGGCATCTTTGAATCTCATCTCATCTGGACTGTTTCTCAGGCCCCTCAAACACCCTTTAAAATGCAGCCAGCAAGCTATTGTTGACTTCCCTCGTGTCTTATTCACAGAGACATGCGTGGAATCCCCCAGGCTTCTAGTTTCTAGTGTTACCTGTGGCTAAATGGGTCTGTCTCTTAAAAATCAGGGTGGGAGTTTTTATTTGGGACTTCCTGCTGGTGGAACTATCACACTAGTGGCAGGCTTGCAGGTTCCTGTGGGACAGAGGGTTACGAGGTGTCAAGCAGAGATAGCTCTGTTTAACTGTTTAAAAGCCACATTTCATTCTCCGACATGTGCCTGAACATAAATATTTGTCAAGACAGGAAGACCTGGTGCTCTTTAAATAACTTAGTCACATTTTTTGGCAGGGTGGGGGGGATGAAGCAGGAATAGAAAGTCTTCTTGCCTTGTCAAATATTTATATTCAAAACAAGCATAAGATTGTAAATCAGTCTGCTTTAGAGTAAATACACTTTTTTCCAGGCCTTTAAATATTCCAGCCCTTCTTATTCTCTTTTATTCTCTTGTGTTCATTCAAAGTGGCTCTGACAAGTCCAGTTTTATTTTCTGTATCATCACTAAATACCAACGCTAATTCATGGCTAAAAATGGGAGGGGGGGACTGGCTGAATTAGAAGACAGAAGACATGGCCTCAAATCTATGGAAAATACTTTCATCTCAGTAATGTTTAATGTCTTCCTCTGCAGAACAAGAATAACAGAGCCTATTCTTTTAGGACCAAAAAAAACCAGCCAGATTGTAACTTCGCAGGTCACAGTTCGTCTAGCTCTTCCTCACCCCTGGATTTCTGCTCTAGGTTGCATGCGCTCTGAAGACAGACACGGTAAAGATGAGAAATCAGCCTTCCAGGGGTGGAGGGCCTTCTCCTCCATTCTCCTCTAGAGACTGAAGACGGGCACCCACATGCACCCAGTGCGGTTTTCAAGCCCCTGGGCCTGGGACTCGACTGCAGTCAGCTACGTGGGATCCAGCTGCCTTACCCACCACACCACCTGGGTGGCCCTATGTCTAGTTTTTTTTAAGTCATGATGTTATTTCCTTTCTTTAGGACAGGGAAAAAAAAGCAGACTGTTAACACTGATGGGGGACGTGTGAAAAGATTAGACCATAGACAAAAATTATGCAGCATCACACGAAGTAGTCATGACCAACCTGATAAAATGGCCAAAATCTTTAGGTAAACAAACATCTGCTTGCGGTTTCTGCTTTTAGGCAAAGTAGGTTATGACTTTCAAAGCTCTGCCTAGGAGCACTAATTTTCAGACTTACTTGAGGACCTGCTGTCTAATATTGTTCCTTAGCTGGTTCTTATTGAGATGAGGACTCCACGTATGAGTTGCCAAGTGATTTGTAACAAAGTTGTCCACCCGCTGTCGCAAATTCTGATAGGCAGGCTGGAAAGAAAAAACAAACAGACATAAAGTATTAAAAATATCTAATGTTATGCAATATCGATAGTCTCAGAAATTTGAGAATGTTTAACGGTGTTAGCATGTCTTAAATTACAGTATCAATGTGACAACAAAGTCTTCCAGCTTGTGACAAACCTTCAGGATAACTTACTGTAACACAATACTGTTCATTTTGTCTAAGACTAGGTGTTTGGAGGTTTGTGAAATAACGAAAAAGGAAGACACACCTTACATTTGTAGACAAAGAATGAGAAATAGAAAATAAGACAGAAACAAATGTTATTGTTAGGTGATCTGGTACAGAAATGCCGAGTGCAAAGGATGTAAACCTTCACTGAGAATGCAGCATTTCAGGTTCACAATGTAGCTGGAAATGCAAATACAGGCTTTGCAGACAGTCAACAAGGTAAGCGAGGAACAGGTGTGAGGAAATGCTGTGCAGGAGTATTGATTCGGGAACCCCCAAATCGGTAATCCAAGTTGGCTGGAGAAGACACTACCAAAAACCAGAGAAATGAAATTGGAAACAGGGTAGAGCCAGGTGCCAGGCAGCTCTGGATACCGGTATGAGCAGCCTGGAATTCTGGGGAGAGGATGGGAGCCCCGCACACACACTGGTAGAGTCATACAATATCTGCGCTTTCTGATGATTAGTTATCCTGTGGTCGAAAAGTAAACAGTCACAAAATGCATTTAGGGAAGTATGCACTAATAAGTAATAAAAGTCTATACTAGTGTAGAAGAATGGGTTGAAAATCAGGGATGCAAGAAAACATTATTGAAGGATAAGCACTTGAACTAGGCGTTGAATGTAAGGCAGTGGTTCTCAACCAATACCCCCAACCTCAGGGCCATTTAGCAACGTCTTCAGACAGTTTTGGTTGTCACATCCTAGGGAGATACTAACATCTACTGTACAGAACACGGGGGGGGGGGGGGGGGGGGGGGGGCCACACCCCC